AAACAAATGATGTGTTCCAAATTATAATTATATGAAATTTTGATTTACCAAATTTTATACAAAGTTACAAAAAAAAAATTTAATAAAATTGTACTAAAAATTTTCTATAATATACAGATATACATATCAAATTTATAACTCCTTTTAAACATTTCAAGTGCCTAGTTAAATAATATAAAATCTTAATTTAACAAATGAATTTAAGCAATTGGACTTACAATCTGTAGTTAATATAATTGATTAACTAATATTTAGCAACAACGATATTAATTTAACATGAGTATGCTTAATCAAACCTACTTTTTAGTGGTTTGCAAAACTGAATAAAATATTAGCAATAGTGATAATAGTAAATTTAATTTAACAAATAAATATATTTTTTCAAACTTACTCTCTAATGATTAACGTAATCCATTAAAGTATTATTTAGCAGTAATAAGTGATAATTGAATTTTAATTTAATTAACAAATGAATATACGTGGTAGAACTTACTTTCTGTCATTAATGCAATCGATCAAAATATTATGTATTTATCAGTCAATGATTGATATTTAGATTATAATTTAATGAATGAATATGCATAATCAAACTTACTCGCCAGTAGTTAATGAAATTGATTAAAATATTATTTAGCATTAATAGTAAAATTTTAATAATGAATACACGCAATTGAGCTTACTTTCTAGATAACATAAAGATCAAAAATATTATTTAGCAATAAAGATAATAGTAACAACTTACGTATCGAACTTACTCCCTAGTAATAAACGATTAACATATTATTTAGCAATAATGATAATAGTAAAATTTTAATCTGACTTACAATCTGGTAATTTTGATTAAACATTATTTAGCAATAACGAAATTTTAATTTAGCAAATAGTTATGCGTAATTGAACTTACTCACTAATAGTTAATATAGTCAATTAAATATTATTATATTTCTCAATTAATGATTAATACAGTTGTCCCTCATTAATATCAACCCCGTTAATATCAACTCAGGATATAAAATGAATTTCTATATGTTAAATGATATTAAAATTCCCTCCTATATATCAACTTTAATATGTTCCTTCATTAATATCACTATCAACATGAATATAAAAGTGATCCAAATAGGTGATATGAGTGAAGGACGACTGTATTTAATTCTAATTTAACAAATAAGTACATATAATCAAACTTATTTTCTAGTTAACATAATTAATTAGATGTTATTTAGCAATAATATTTAAATTTAGCAAATGAATATGGTACCATAATTTAACTTACATTCTAGTAATCGATTAAAATATTATTTATATAGCAATAATAATAAAAAATTAACAAATAAATATATGTAATCGAACTTACTTTCTAGTAGTTAATGTAATCGATTAAATATTATTTGACTATAATATTTAAGTTTAATAAATGAAAATACGTAATCGAACTTACTTTCTGTTAGTCAATATAGTAAATTAAAACTATTATTTAGCTATAATAGTAAAATTTTAAATTATTATGAATATACGTAATTAAACTTACTTTCTAGTAGTTAATGTGATCAATTAAAATGATAAAATTTAAATATCTAAACAAATGATATATGTAATTGAACTTACAATCTGGTAGTTAATGTAATATTATTTAGCAATAATATTAAAATTTATCAAATGAATATTACTGCACGTAATTAAACTTACTTTCTAGTGTTAATATAATCGATTAAAATATCATTTAGCAAAAACGATATTAGTAAATTTTATTTTAAAGATGATTATATGTAATCAAACTTACTCCCTGCGAGTTAATATAAAATCAATTAAATATTATTCAGCAATGACTAATTTTAACTTAATAAATGAATATACATATTCAAACTTATATTCTAGTAGTTAATGTAATTGATTAAAATATTGTTTAGTAATAATAACAAAATTTTAACAATAATTATATATGTAATTGAACTCACTCCTTAGTCTCTCTACAGTAGTAGTTAATGTAATCAATTAAATATTATTTATCAATCAATGATTAATATTTAATTTTAATTTAACAATTACATATATGTAGTCTGACTTACGGTTTGGTAGTTAACATGATCGATTAAAATATTATTTATCAATAAATAATTAGCATTTAAATTCTAATTCAACAAATAAATATATAATTGAACTTACACTCTGGTAGTTAATGTAATCGATTAAAATATTATTTATTAACAAACAATTAGTATTTAAATTCTAATTCAATAAATGAATATATGCAATTGAACCTATTTTCTAGTTAATATAATCGATTAAGATATTTAACAATATTAGTAAGATTTAACAAATGAAGCGTAATCGAACTTATTGTCTAATTTAACAAATATGCGTAATAAAACTTACATAGTGAACATATTCAATTGAAATCTGGTAATCATTTAAACGTATTCAATTGAGATCTAGTAATCATTTAAATTTAATCCATGTAATTCGAGAAATATGCACAATAAAACTTATACCCTAGATAGTTAACATATTTGATTAAATATTATTTAATCATGATTACGATAAAATTCTAGCACTATAAACTGCTGAGCCTAGAACATTTACAATAGTTAGAAACATATCCAGGCATTTGTCTTATTCAATTTACTAATCTGGTATTTCTCAAGATATAAAGATACTGCTATTTGAAGTGCATTTTGTACCCGTATATAAAAGAATGTTGAACCAGCAGTTTACGGTAATAATATGTGCATACATAACTTACTTTTTAGCAATCTCTGTGAAAATATTATGCACATTATCTCCTTTCTTTGCACTAGCTTTAAAAAAAAGCAAATCTGCCTCGAGAGCATATGATTTAACCTCTAATGTTAAAACTTGTCTCCCAGATTCATACCATTTATCCCCTTCATCTTCGTAAGGTTGAACTAAATCTATTTTATTACCTACAAGAGCAATAACAATGTTTGGGTCTTCTTTATGCTGTAATTCTTTTACAAAAGATTTAGCTTTATCAAATGAGTATTAATAAGTGATTCCAAATTTATATATATAAATATATTATCAATTTATTAATACATTAATGAGGTCATCTGATTTTGAATTCCAACTTACAGCATTCGTAACATCATAAACAACTATAGCTGCTTAAGCATTGCGATAATAAATTGGGGCAGACGAACGAAATCTTTTCACGCCAGAAATATCCCAGATTAAAAATTTAAAGTTTGTATCATCCAACTAAAACCTTTTAGCTAAAAAGTTGACTGAGAAAATTTCAAAAAGAATTGGTAATTCAAAATAATTGTTAATAAAAAACTAAAGTTATTAATTTAACTCACATTTATTAGACTGGCTTTAAGTTACCTACCACTAATAGTTGCCCTCATATCTTCATAAAATTGGTCATTGACAAATCTGCTAATCAAGCAAGATTTACAAGCAGCAGCTCCCCCTGAGAGTAAGTAATACAACAAAAGTATATGATAGATATTAACTTTGTAACAGGGATGGTGATTTTTTGTGATTTACAAAAAACCATAGAATTTCTCTTAAACACAGAATAGAATAATTCTAACATTCTAAAGGCAGTAATTTTCAGATAACAAAAGAATACCTTTTATTATGTATTTGCGCAAACTCACCTAGAAGCACCAATTTTACGCTTTTATATGAATTATAGTATATGACATTATATATTGTGTTATAGGTCATTAAAAAGGTGATGCATAATCGAACTTACAATCTGGGTCTAGCACAAAATCCCAATATCCAAAATCTCGACAGGCTATAATACTGACATCACATGACATTACGATTAATATTTAAAGATTAGTACTGGTAAGCACATTAACAATTATTGTCAAACTTTAAATTTTTAATTGCTACATCGTGTGATATCAGTATTATGATCTTTCAAGATTTTGGATAGGATTTCGTACTAGACCCTACAATCTAGTGATATAATAAATTAAAATATTATTTAGCAATAATATTTAATTTAAGAAATGAATATATGTATTAAACCTACATTCTAGTGGTATAATCAATTAAAATATGATTTAGCAATAATGTTTAAATTTAAGAAATAAATGTATGTAATCGAACTTACGGTCTGGTAGCCAATACAATCAAAATATGATTTAGCAATAATATTTAAATTTAAGAAATGAATATATGTAATCGAACTTACGTTCTAGTAGCCAATATAATCAATTAAAAATATATATATATATTATTTAGCAATATTTAAATTTAAAACATGAATATAGGTAATCAAACTTATGATCTAGTAGTCAATATAGTCAATTAACAAAAATATATATTATTTAGCAATAATATTTAAATTTAAGAAATGAATATAGGTAATCAAACTTACGACCTGGTAGTCAATATAATCAATTAAAAAAATACATTATTATTTAGCAATAATATTTAAATTTAAGAAATGAATATATGCAATCGAACTTACGATCTGGTAGTCAATATAATCAATTAAAATATTTAGTAATAACGTAATAGTAAGTCAATTTAACAAATAAAATTACTTACTTTCTGGTAGTTAACGTAGTGTTAATCGATCAAAATATTATTTAGCAATAATGATAATAGAAATTTAACAATTGAGTAGACATGATCGAGCTTACTCCCTAGTAATTAATATAATCGATTAAAGATTATTTATCAATCAATAATCAATATTTAAATTTTAACTTAATAACGAAAGAATATATGTATTCCGACTTACTTTCTAGTATTTAATACAATCGATTGAAATATTATTTATCAATAATAGTTAAATTTAACAAATGAAAATATTTAATCGAACTTACAATCTGGCAGTTAATGTAATCGATCAAAATATTATTTATCAATAAAAAAAATTAATATTTAAATTCTGATTTAACATATGAATACACTTACTCCCTAATATTTAATGTAATCGATTAAAATAGTACAATAATAATAGTTATGTCACGGCTGATACTAAAATTGCTTGATGCTAAAATTTGGTGTCTCAATTTGAAAATATAACCCTGCTAAAATCCACATATACACTTCAATTATATAAAATCTTAACCAAACCCTAAAAAAAAAAAAAAAGGGAAAAAAAACACCCCAAAAATTTTAAAATTTCACATTAAATAGGCCCAAATTTCAGCAACAGCCGTGACAATTAATATTTGTCGGGGATGATGCTGAAATCGGATGATGCTGAAATTTAGGGGCCTTAATTTGAAAATATAAATCCTACTAAA